AAATTTTTAAATATATTTTATACATTCAACCCTTGCATTATTAAAATGTGAATTAAGGTCATGCTAAGTCAACATTAACTCCAAGTTAACCTTTTTGGAATTACTACCAATGTTATATCAGAGTCCAGACTTAATACATAATAATCTGATGTCATTAACAAGACACTTTTTAGCTTTTATTCTCTTTTTTAAACAAGTTGAAAGTAGTAAAGTAACTGAAGCCTACAAATCGTTTCAAAATTAGTATTTGAGTAGCCAGTAAGTTTCTTCTTTGGCCAGCTGGCTTGTGAGTTACAGACACAGCATGAAACTCAGTCCCTGCCTTCATGGATGTCATAATCTAGTTGAGGGGGGAAAAATGTACCTCAGTAAGACTATTACAGGACAATAAAATATAGTTCCTTATTAAGTGTTATGCAAGGACTAGGGCGCCTGGGTGGCTTAGTCAGTTAAGCGTCCGACTTTCACTTAGGTCATGATCTCGCGGTTCGTGGGTTCGAGCCCCGCGTTGGGCTCTGTGCTGACTGCCAGCTCAGAGCCTGGAACCTATTTCGGAGTCTGTGTCTCCCTCTCTCTCTGACCCTCCCCTGCTCACGCTGTCTCTCTCTCTCTCTCCTAGAAATAAATAAAACATTTAAAAAAAAAAAGAGTCTAAAAAAAAAAAAGAAAGAAAAAAGAAAGGACTTCCATGAGTAGCACAATAGTTCAAGGCAACTACTGGTTTTTATGCTGTTTGGGCAGATGCAGAAAATAAATTTTTAAAGAATTTTTTTCAAATGGGGAAGCATACTTAACGTTTAAGAAGAGAAAGTCTTTTTTTTTTTTTTTTAAGAAGAGAAAGTCTTTTGCTAGAAGTCAAACTACAAACATAACACAAACCCACCATTCTTTCCTTTACCGTAGGAGATAAGCTTCAAACACTTGTCCAATCACACTCCCATTTTATAAGGGCACCCTATAGCCTCAACTTACGGGATAGGCCCAGACTGTCACTCTTCCCCAGAAACCCTTCCACTGGCCACAGAGCCAGGCGTGGATATCTGACACTGACAAGACTTTTGGTGAGATAGTATCAGGCAAAGGAATAGTATGAGGGCATGGGTAATGTGGGGCTGTACTTGGTGCTATGGCAACACAAAGTAACATGCAAGCGAGAACTGTGAACCAAAACCGTTGCAAACAAAGGGGCTCAATAGAAAGGACAATGGAATCAATGAATGGAAAGGAAAAGATTATGAAGCCTCAGGGAGAGAAAGAGAAGGGGCAAGATTCACACCTTTCTGGTTCCCAAGAGTCCACTGTGCTTCCTAAATTTAATTGAGTTATATGAGCTTTTACTTTATCTCTAAAACAATTCCCTCTCTTTAAAGGCAAGAGTATCTTGTAAATGAATGATCTCTGACTTAAGAGGTTACATGGTATAAAATAGTTACAGTTACACACTTCATACACAAGCTGGTAACATTTTAATATTATGCCTGCTGTTTATTACAACTAACTGAGGGTTCCTTCTATATTCTGCAAAGCCAAATTCCCAATTTTCTTTCTTTCTTTTTTTTTTTTAATTTTTAAATTTATTTCTAGGAGAGAGAGAGAGACAGCGTGAGCAGGTGAGGGTCAGAGAGAGAGAGGGAGACACAGACTCCGAAACAGGCTACAGGCTCTGAGCTGGCAGTCGGCACAGAGCCCGACGCGGGGCTCGAACCCACAAACTGTGAGATCATGACCTAAGCAAAAGTCGGACGCTTAATGGACTAAGCCACCCAGGTGCCCCAAATTCCCAATTTTCAACAGTGAATCAGTTCCAGATTAGTACTGGATTATCTCTGCAGTGACTTTACCATACAACAGATCTCAATCCACAGTAAATCAGTTGTGTCAATTCTGCCTCCTTAATATCTCAATCTAGCCCTTCCTGGGCTCTGTGGCCTTAGGCTGTGGAGAACTATATAACCTCCAATCTCTCTGCCTATTTTACCACCAATACCTACCCTTCCAGTTCTTCCCGCTCCCCCTAACCCCCCCCAACAAGAAGTAAAGCTATCTTTCTAAAATACGAATCACACAACAGAATCCTACTCCCACAACTCACCTAGGTCCTATATTGCTAAATATTATGCAACCATTTAAAAAAAAATGGAGATTTGTATAATGACAAAGATATGCAAATCTTAAAAATAACAACAAATGCTACTTGCTAAAATTCCGTGTATCGGGAATGGCAAACTCAGATGTGTGAACCAGCACTGTACAACAGAAACTTCTGCAATGATGGAAATGTGCCTTCATTGTCCAATATGTTAGCTCCTACCTAGGGCTACTGAGCACTTGAAATGTGGCTGCTGTGACTGAGCAAAAGAACTTTTTAATATTTATTTATATAGTTTGAGAGAGAGAGAGAGAGAGAACGTGTGCACGCATGCCTGAGCAGGGGAGGGACAGAGAATGAGAGAGAAGCCCAAGTAGGCTCCACATTGACAGCTAGGAACCCAACGCAGGGCTGAAACCTATGAACTCTGAGATCACGACCTGAGCCAAAAACCAGATGCTCACCTGAACTATGGCACCCAAGACACCCCTTTAATTACCTTAATTTTAGTTCACCTAAAACAAAATGGCCATAGGTGATGCGTGGCTACTGTATTCAACAGTGCTAGTCTGTGTAGAGTTCAGGCAAAACCATACTGACATAAATGCAGATTCATGCCCATCTGATGGTGCAGCAAGTGTAATGGAATCTGAACTTACCAAACAGTTACCAAACAGTTACCAAACAGTTCAATATTTTCAAGAAAAGCAAGCAATTGAAACTTTATGGTAAAGTTAGCAGTTTTAAAATGCTGGCAACCACTTAAAAAAACAACAAAAAAACCTTTTTAACCACCTTGACCAAACATGCACAAGACCCCATTCAGTTTTTGATCTAAATGATATTATTCCTTCATTAACTATTTAATGGGTGCCTCCTACATACCATATCACACCACTCTGGATGCTAGAGATACCACAGAAAATAAAACAGACAAAAATCTCTCCCAATTTGCCAAAAACAGTAATGCTGAAACACGCTAGCATATACAAATATAAATAAATCTAAAGTAATACATAGCAAACAATTCATAGTGGTTATTTTAAGTGATTGTAAAGGATTTTCATCTCATGTATTTCTGTGCTGTTCAAATTTTTACAAGGTGTATTATTACTTTTGTAGGCCCCAAAACAAAGGCAACTATGTTTATAATTTCCAATGATTTCCATGGGCTTCAATAAATTCCTGCATATGAAAGATCAGGCCTCTCATAATGCCACCTCCTACTATTTCTCTAGGCACCTTCCCCAGCTCCTCTTCACCAATTCCTAAACTCCAGACCCACTGACGTGCTTGGAGCCCTCAGGAAAGCTTTCATCTCTATTTCTATGCACATCAGTTGCACTGCTTAGCTCTGCGATTATAGCAAGCAAACTCTTACTCATATCTCAGAACTTATGTGAAATTTTTTTTAAAAAATCCGACACAGAAGGTATAAGCAAAAGCTCCAAACATGACACGAACAGAAGTAAAAACATTATCGTTTATACCACTGACAATAAAGTGTCATGTAGTACAGAAATGGAGCCTGATACTTTGCAGTCCCTGGTTTATCCTTGAGAAAGGGAAAAAAATTGGGGAAGAAATCTATTCATACATTTCAGAAAGCCGATGCTAGACTACACAGAGCCTATGAGATTCAGGGATGGCATATCCTCTTCAAAGAACTGCAGCAGGTCAACAAACATAGCTGGCAAACTTCTAGGATTACTAAATTAATGATGTGAGAAAATTAAACAATTTGGATTGTCAGCCTCTAAGAACATTTCAGATCCTTAATTCCTTAAGTACCATCTCAGAATGAGCAAGTACAGCACTCACAGCTGAAGCCTGGAAGACAGTTTTAACAACTCTGCTGAAAATGACTATTTCTTCTCTAGTTTCTATGGAAACAGCTGTCAGGTCGGCAAAAATAGGACATGTGCTTTAAAATAATCATTCAAGCAAAGTACACACAGGATGGAAGACTTAAAAAAAAAAATAAATTGGAAGGCAACAGCCTTGGTTCTTAAGCTTCCAAATGTCAGACTGCGTGCACCCCTTCACCAGGGCTGAGAAGATGGATATGAACCCACGGCATTTGAGGGCGGGCCACACCGCACCGGTTGGAGCCCCTACAGCGGATCAATCCCTGAATTCCAAATGAGGTATTTTCATCGCCCCCGACGAAAATTTCTCATTGAGGAGTGCACGGCACGTTCAACTGTTGCTCCGCTTTACACAGGCAAGTGGCATTATTTAAGGAGTATAAAAAGTGATTCCTGTAGACAAGTTTATGCAGAAATTATCAAAACTCCTTAGAACTGTTTAGGCAGGAAATGCTGGGCTCTTCATGGCAGGGTGTAGGTAGGAAAACGTGTTCTCTGCTCTAAGAGGAAGGAGGAAGGAGAGGGACCCTCTGTCGAGCGGCTGTAGGCGGCTGGCAGTTTTGCACGGGCGAGGTGTCGCAGCGAGGCACACCGAGCCGCGTGGGAAAGAAATACAACTTTTAAAAAGGAGCCGCTGAAGAGAAAGAAAGGTTGAGGGGCGAGGGAGGGATCTTCCCGGAAACCGCATCCACCTGCCAACGAGCAACTTCCTGGCCGCAGAGTAGCACCCTGGGGTCCCTTGCACTTTACGCCGGGAGCGGAGGGAAGAGGGGAGGGGTGAAGCACGACTCTCCCGGACCCCTTTTCCACTCACCCCTCCCCGCCCCCGGCTCTCCCCATTTTTCCTCTTCCCCCCGCCCCGGGCACCCCTTCGTCCCTCCCCCAGGCCTCGCCACCCCACTCCCCTCCCCGTGCTCAGGGGGCCCCGCCCCGCATCCTGGCGCCCCTCGAAGTTCTAGCACTCCAGTTCCCGCACTCTGCCCCCGCCCCAGGGCCCGGCCCAAGTCGTAAAAGGAGGACATAGACGTCCTCACAGGACAGACCCTAGCAGTGGCGAAAGCGAAGACTCCTCCGACCGGCCTTGTGCGCAAGCGCACACCCCGTCCAGAAGCTCCGCCTCCTTACTTCCTGCCCTCGGCCCGGTCCTCGGCGCCTTTTGCTCCGCCCACAGCGGGCAGTCAACACGCCCGCCCACAATCGTCCTTTCCGCGGGCCGCAGACCCGGAGCCGACTGTGGCGCTCTCACGCCCCCGCGTGGCCAGAAGAGGGACGTGGCTGCGGGCTGCGCTGTTTGCCACGTCTTCTTCACTTGTGTCCTTGGAACCTGATTTGGGTCCTCTAAAGAATGATCCAGGCAAGGCTGTGACCGCTGAAGATTCTAAGGCAGTGCTGGCCGAAAGAAAAGAGAGTCTAGAGGGATTCTAGAGCTCAAAGACTAAGGTTTCTTGGTTTTGAAGTTGCACTGATAGAAGTAGTCTTTGGAGTGTGAGAATTCTGCTTTCACATGACTTCCTGGAATGGCACATTTTAAGAAAAATGAAGTATAATCGGAAGCATCCAGAAGTTAGTTGAAAATAGCTGGCTACAAAACAATGGGTATGATATGTTTCATTTATGCTACCAAAAAATATTTATCCAGCACCAAGTGCATTTTAGGTGCCAGGAATACAGCCGTGAACAAGATAAAGACATGACTTTCATGGAGTTTGTATCACAGTGAGGGAATCTAGGCAATAAGCAAGCAAACAAGCAAATAAGCATAGTACCAGATAGTGGTATGATTCTATATTAGTTTGTTATATTTATATTCTATGCACAATGGAAAACATCTTCAAAGATATAAACCCTATGATCAATTTTACGTATCACTTTTACAGGATGGTAAGCAATGTGCTCTTTTACCTTCCTTATTTGTGTTTTATAATTTGCCTTTTACTGTGAAGGAACTATCCTGGCAGATTGATGACCACTGGTTCCCTAAAAACTGAGGTGACAGGTCCCTGAATCTTCATGGGTTTATCTGTGGTGTGTGTGCCTTACCAAGGTCTCCAATGTACTAGCTATCGCTTGCTCAGCATGCCTGATTAGCATGCTGTTATCAGTATACAGACAGGGTGGGGGTCTCCGGGATGTCTAGGTGGTCCTGATCCTTTTGGACTGTATTATGACAGATTGCTGAGACAGCACCATGGCTATAATCAGGTCTATTACATGATTAAAACAGCAGTTCTCTATAAACCATTCTCACTTCTGAAGCAGCCAAACTGGTAAATTAAATGGAGATATGACAGGGACAACTCTGTATCCATTAGGTCTTCAATGGTGGCATTAATCTCTACCATGATCATCCTAGCCCCTTGGATGAAATAATGGTTCTTATTTATTATCCCAACTCAGTAAGGAAGGGACAGTTTTAGTGGCTTTCACTTGGTCTTCCTCACCATGAGAACTCAAGGCCAAGGACCTAATGTGGAGCTTGCTCTCATTGTATACTCCCGATTATGCACTCAGGGACTGAGGAAAGAGTAGTAGATAGGTCCATGCTCCCATGGACTCATTGTAAACTGGAGATTATCCAGATCTGTGCTCATTGCCTGACCCCCATAAGTCCCCTCTCTTACAGAGAGGCTATGATAACACTCTGAGTTTCTGGGTAACCAGATCCCCTCAGACCCTGCAATATTTCTGGGTATTTCTCTTTTCCTGACATATAGTTGGCTGTGAAAGTGTCCATAGGCCACAGAGTAATCATTGCAGTAATATCTGTTTCTGTGTTGCAGGGTTCTTCTTCTTAGGGACCCAACCACCTCTTCAGTCAATAGATTCTGTGGTCTGGATCTGAAGATTAACTCAGATCTGAGCACTGTACATGAAGCATGACTTTTTTATTAAGGCAACCACCCTCAGATTCCTGTTCCTCCATTCTTGCCTTCTGGTTATAGATATCAAGCAACACACTATTGGCTGCCCATCTATTTTTCCCCTATGGACACCTGTACCATTAAATACCTTCATAGCGCCCGAGGACCAGGTACCCTGTGCAGTCCCTCTTAACTTGCCAACTATTTTAGTAATTACAGCCTCCAGGCTTCTGGTGTTTAAAGTCACCACCTGGCTTCTTTTGCTTCAGGATGCTATCATTACCCTAGAGATTACCAAGCCCAGCCCTGCGATTGCTTCTCTTCCCATCATCCCTGGCCTGCAGAGGAGAGCCCTCTCTGAACTTCTTAGTGATGCTGGTACTTCTCTCACCAGTGCATTTCCCATTGTCACTGAGTACGGCCTGTCCTTTGGGCCTCCTGCAGAGCATAACCCTCTGTCTGACCTTCTGATTCTACACAATAAATCCTTCGAGCAAGCCCACTGCCCTCAGGACCTCTTTTCTTCCTCTACAGTCTGCTAGGGCAATTCAGCCGCCTTCCTCCCTGGAGACTTCCCTTGGCTGAGGTTGATATAATCGGCCTCATCCAAGAATATGCCTTCTCCCCAGGAATCAGCATGCATTCAGTGACTGATGCTTTTATTTTTATTTTTTTAATTTTTCCTTTCCTATTTGAGTGAGAGAGGCAGAGAGAGAGAGAGAGAGAGAGAGAATCTCAAGTAGGCTCCATACTCAGCATGGAGCCCAATGTGAAGCTCCATCCCATGACTCTTGCTGTGATCATGACCTGAGCCAAAATCAAGAGTTGGATATTAGCCAACTGAGACATCCAAGCGCTCCTAGTGACAGATTAATTTCGGAGATACAAAGGCCTGGCCCCTGTATCTCAGTTGAGGACAATCCTGTAAGGCCCCCCCAGCTCCAGAGCTCTCCATAGGATTGGTAAGAAGCACTACTTCTCCTTCTGCCCACGCCTCTGTCCCTTACTCACTTATAGGTGTTGTCTCTGAGGACCCCTCCACCGCACCCCAAAAACCCTGAATGCAGCGACTCCTCTCAGAGTCTGATTCCAAGGAACCCAACCCAAGGTAACTCAAGTTTTCTCCAGAAGCAGAAGCTGCGTGGATACAGGACTTTCATTTACACCTCCCAGAGGAAGTACCAGAAGCTGAATACTGAGGAACTCAGGAATTGTGAGGCTTAGCTTGTTTTGGAACTGGGTGTAGACAGAAGCACATCCCTCTGCCGATCTCAGTTCCGGTTGAAAGCCACACAAGGTGGCCACAGGATTTGATCAAGGCACAAATTTGTTAGGCTGCCGTGGATGGGCGGTACCTTGACTGATGTGGCCTTTCATTTTTCTTGAGCATGTGCCAGGCATCACTGTTCCAAATGTTGGAAATGACTGGCTCAGGGTCTGAAGTCACTCAGTATAGACAACTGCAGCAATGTAGAACAACTGCCAGTTCTACTCCAACAAAACTAACTCACCATTTTCTTCATCCATGGGCTTGACTGCCTTGACTTTCTTTTCTCAGCCCAGCTTCTCTTCCCACAGAACATGAACAGACATGTCTTTAATTTCTTTTCCTTTTTTTTTTTTGGTTTGGAAAGAGTGGTCACACCAAGTTCTGGTGTGTTACTTTCACACATTGCCACCTAGATTGTTATGCTCTAGCTCGCTGAGTTGTCTCCCTGTCTTCACCTCATTCCTCTTGTCGAACCAGCAGCCACCTGGACCCAGGTCCTGAAAGCAGAGCCTAGATGACACAATGTGGGTCAACTACTCCAAGGCCACAGCGTGGGAAGGTCCTTGCTCACTGCCCCAGGATGAGTTTTTCAGAGATTCCAGTCAAGCACTTTTCTATTACCCCTTTATTGCAAAAGTAAACTGTGTTTTAAATATTTATTTTTGAGAGAGAGTGGGACAGAGTGCAAGTGGGGGAGGGGCAGAGAGAGGGAGACACAGAATCTGAAGCAGGCTCCATGCTCTGAGCTGTCAGCACAGAGCCCGACATGGGTCTTGAACCACAAACCATGAGATCACGACCTGAGCTGAAGTCGGACGCTTCACGGACTGAACCACCCAGGAGCCTCAAAAGGAAACCATTAATACCAAGAAAAATAAAACAAAAAAGAGAAAATTTTTTCTACCCGAAGATAATTCATCACTGTTAACATTTGGATGTGCCATCTTCTTGAAAATCAAGATTAAAATTACTTTAAATATTTAAAACTTTGATAGGATGGAAAGTTTCTTACTGTCCTTTTAATGTACGTTCCTTTGATTCCTAACGATGTAAACATTTTTCCATGCTTATATGCTGTTCGGATTTCTCCTTTGGCAAATCTCCTGTCATGTCCTTAAACCATTTTTCTAGAAAATATTCCTTATTATCTTTTTGTCTTATAAAAGTACTTTACATAGTTAAGAACTGCCCACTGTTTGTATAATAAACATTCCCCCTGCTTGGTATCTGTCTTTCAACTTCATTAATTCACATATGCAGACATACGTACTTTAAAAGATTTTGATATAAACAAATCTCTCTGTCTTTTCATGGTGGTTTCTGCCTTTGAGATTTATTTAGTCTGTCTCAAGCTCAAGATTATATATTTACCAATGTTTTCTTCTGGTATTTGAGTTTGTTATTTCTTGAATCTTTCTCAGGAACTTATTTCAGTATAAGATTGGACAAAAGAATATAACCTAAAATATTTTCTGAATTGTCAGGCCAGTGGAGCTTTTATGAAAGACATATGTAGGTACTGTGTCCACGGTGAGGATTACCAAGGTAACTGCCATCCCAACAGTTTACTGAGTAACCCATCTTATCCTGACTGACTTTTGGCATATACTAAATTCTCTGCTTCTGGGCTTTTCTCTTTTGTTCCTATGTCTGTCTGTTCTGGCATTAGTGCGTGGTTCTAATTTTACAATAGAGATTTTATTTTCAAATATTTCCTGACTCGTCCTAATACACTTGACCTAATACACTTGATGGATTTCAGAATAACTTTCAAATCCTCCCCACCAAAAAAACACACCATGATTTTAATTCTGTTATTGCTGTTTTTAAACTTAGATTAATTTTGAGGAATGTTATACTTTTGCAAGGTTGACTCTATCAATCCAGGAAACTTGACGTGTGTCTCCATTTACCCAGGTCTTCTTTTATGTCCCTCCATAAAGTTTTACAGTTTTCTTATATGG